ACTGAATTTTCCTCTCAAAATCCTCAGGAACCTAACTCCAGCTTATATTCAGTTTTATTTTATAGTCTTATTCTGCAAAAGATCCAGCTGTGTCTACAAGAAGCTTATGAGAAATATTTTTTAACAAAACTCTATTATTCAGTACCTCTAGACTTGAAAAAAGTCTGGACGTAATTTTTACTCTAAGAAAATTGCAGAACCAAAGATTGTAGAGTTGCAGGAGACCTTGAAAATATTCTAGCTCACCACATAACGAAAGCTAGAGCCTTCTGTACAAAGAACTCACAACTCACAGCATGACCCACTCTGTTTCTAAATATCTTCACTATTGGAATTCGTTTTTTTTTTTTTATTAGATTGAAATCTGCCTCCTTAAAACATCTACTCATTATCCTGAATCTGCCCTACAAAGCTTCACAGAATACATCTAATCCTGTTTCTATATGTTATGCCATAAAAATGTGAAGACAGTGATCATATCGCACACACACACACCCTTACCAGAGTATTTTGGTTATTGTTTGAAATATTGAATTTATTATCTTTAAAAAGAAAATGGACTTAATCTGCACCCATAAATTTCCACTTCTACAGTCTTAATATTTTCAGCTCCTTTTGCTGGTGCACAATTCATCCAGAAATAAGGGAGACTCTTGGCCTCTCACTTAAGAAATGGAGGTATAGAAATCAAATGTGCTCGGGCTAATCTTATTCCTCCTTTATCGTCAGGATTCAGCAGTGTCAGAGCTGTATCTTCTGCATTCACAAATGTACTGCACAGACCTGCCTGGTAATAACCTGTTTCTGCTTCTGTCTCAGAAGAATTTTACCTTCACCTTTCCTTGGTTTTTCTTGATGATTAATGTAATTGTGATTTTTTTGAAATCTCATTTTTAATGCTTACCATGGGGGAGATACCCTTGGACTTAAGATGCCAACTAAAGTTCAGATGAATCTGGAGAATCACAGGTGCAAGTTTTGTGTGGCATGAGATGCTAAACATTCATGAGCTGAAGATGCTATGAGAACTCCAAGGGAAAAATTGGCGTAAATGTTGCATTGGAGGCTCTCTTTGCTCATCTCTCTTAATTATGTTTCTGCCACTAGTCATGAAAAGTGGTTTAATATAGGAGGAGATGGGGATGTGAAATGGAGAAAAAAATATGTACCTACAGATACACACACGTACAGTTTTATATGCAATTTTATGGCTCACCCATTGACCGCTTATGGATCAACAGCCCCCAGATTAATTGCCCTTGATATATGTACTGTGTGTTCAGAATTGTGCTTATTGTTATGAGAAGTAGAAAAAATTATGTCATGATTTCTACCCTCAAAAAATTTCCTTGAATGGACATGTGAAACAATGACTAAAAAAAATTAAGATTATTTAATTTGTGTGATATGGAATTTAGGTACTGAAAGTGTACTGAGAAGGAGCAACCAGGAGTTTTTTTGAAAATATGTCATAGACAGGCATTAGAAATTTACTTCAAATACACATTAGGAAAGGTACTTATAGCAGAGCATGGACTGCTGTGTTCAAATCCTTGCATCACTTTTTGTGTTTTGGAAAAGTGAGTTAAACTGTCTGAAAGTCATACTCCTCATATTTAAATTGGAGATACTAACAGTATGTGCATCACTTGGTTGTTATGAGGATTAAATGAATCAATTTTAGTAAAGTACCTGGCACATAACAAGCACTATGGAAGTGATAGATAAATTATTGGTAAGAAGAGAGAGGAAGCAAAGAAAAACAAATCATTAATAGGAGGACTGGCTTTGGACAAAGTAAAAGATAGTTCTTCTGCTAACACTAGGAGAAGGAGCGTGGGATAGATGTGTCAAAACCAAAACCAAACCCATTGTCATCAAGTCAATTCTGACTCATAGTGACCCTATAGGACAGGGTCAAACTGCCGCATAGGGTTTCCAAGACTATAATATTTCTGGACTCACTGGAGCAGCTAGTAGGTTTGAACCACCAACCTTTCAGTTAGCAGCTGAGCACTTTAACCACTGCACCAGCAGGGCTCCTGGATGGATATGTAAGAATGTGTATAATTGGAAACAGGAAGCTGAAGGACTTTTCTACCTAATGGATGCTTTCTTCTTTATAAAATAGAAAGTAAGATTCTTGACTAAATATGAATGAGAAGGAAAAAGCAGCCGGCCTGTGTGTGCTGGTCCTGTGAATCTGCTGGGCAAGGGAAGAAGTCAAGTGATCCTTGTCGACATGCTGATAGCTGAACTCCTGACAAATAGACTAATGATATTTACTAGAAGGAGAGCCCTTAACTATGGAATTCTCTTAACAGAATGTTTCCAGTTTAGGATTGCTTATGATAAACAAATTTAAATTGTATGGATTTATGGGGCATGACTCTCTATAAAATGTCATGCAAGCTGGGTGACTGTTTGACATATAAACGGGAGATATTTCATAACCTAAATGTTCCCTGCTATATAAGGTAATAACCCTATGAGCATTTCTGAGAGACTTCATCTCTTACTCTGAACCACAGTGCATGTCTAATGCAGGAATGACGAACCTAGAGAGCCACACACGATGTGCTAAACCTCTCTGCTTCACCTGAGCCTCTTGATTGCTTGTATCCTTGAAATTATTAGTAAAGTTTGATTCTGGGGAAAATCTCTTATTTATGTGAGTTGATATGACAATCCAATCCTTTGGGCTAGCTCAATGAACAGGAGATGGTAGGCCAGGAGATATCAGCAAATTAGGTTTGGGGCAGAGCTGGGGGTTGGCAAAGGACTCATTGCTGGGTTGTGTTAAAGACCCAGATGAGACTAGAAACATTGAGTGGGTAGGGGCACCAGTCTTCACGGGTTTGTGATTGCTCAGTAGTGCTCAGTGACCTGAATATAACAGAGAAGGTAAATGGTTCAGCTAATGGAACTGAGGGTTTTTTTTTTGTTTTGTTTTTTAAGAGTGGCAGTGGCTTACAGGACTAGAGGATAAAGGAATTAAGGGCACTGGCGAAAAAAGCGAATAGTTGAAGTGAGGTATTATGGGCTCAAGGTGTGGATATGAAAGGGACTAAAAATAGGAGAGCTATATAGACCTGAATTTGAAACATTGTTCTCCTGCTTTTCTTGAGCAATTTATTTAACCGCTCTGTGCCTCAATTTCATCATATGTGAAATGGGATAATAACTCCTATCTCATAGGTTTAAATAAGTTAATGTGTGTAAAACATTAAGGACAATATAAAAACAAGCAAACAACAATAACAAAAAAACTCGTTGCCGTCGGGTCAATTACAACTCATCGCAACCCTATGGGACAGGGCAGAACTGCCCTATAGGGTTTCCAGTGAGCGGCTGGTGAATTCAAACTGCTGTCCTTTTGGTTAGCAGCCTAGCTTTTAACCTCTGTGCCACCAGGGCTCCAAGGGCAATATAAGTGCCCAGTAAATTATAATTTTTTATTGAATAAAAGTGAAGGGGTCAAGAATATCAAGACTTTGATGAAGTCAAGATAGGATTAACAGGAATAAAGAAGAGAAGATTGAAAGAATCTAAAGTTGGTCAGAGAAAGGGATATTAGACTTTATGATTTTTAAGGATGAAACAGTTCCAGGTAATAAAAAGGGCCAGGGTGGTGACTCAAAGACTCATGTGTGGCTAGCATGCTTGAGTGGGATGGTCACTGTCAGTGATGAAATTCCAAAACTTTTAGCCTGGTGAGACAGGTCCCAAAAGAGACCATTTTAACATTTTTACTTTTCACTAATGAAAACATGCAAACACAACTCTAACTTATAAAATCTTAACTAACACTTTGAAATTTGCCTTGAAATAGATTGATTTTTATTGTTTTCTATGTAATGAAAACATTAGTGAGGACAATTGCAGTGCTCTGATCCTATTAACCCCAGTGGATCCAATTCTGCCATTTCCCCATGAACAACACATTAACTGAGGTCCATTAAACAATGAATCAAGAAACAACATTTAATGTAATGGCAGTTTTCATTTAAATTAGGTTATAAACAGTATTCCATTTGGCTAATGTAAAAGATCAAAGCATAAATATTCTAGCATGGTTTCTGAAGAACAAATTACTTCAGATTGCTAACAGATCTGTAGACATTGGTTATGTAATATAGGATTTCAGCAGAATAAGTGATCTAAACTAACATAACTTGTTGAATAGTGATGCGTTTGAGAATAATTCACAGAGATGCTAATGGAATAGAAAATACGTAAAGATGAGAAATAGTTGAGGTTTGGACATATACTAATATCAATGTGAATAAAATTATCACAGTTCTTTTATATTGTAATGATACTAGCCCAGAAAATACCTAGTAAGTAATTATTGGAAAAATAATTAGAGCATTTAGAACCTACAGAAATACTGACAACCAATGCTCTTGAACATAATTATGAGAAATTATAAACTGGCTGTAAATTTTGAATCCTAAATATTATATCCAAGTAATTTGTTTGAAGTATTAATTAGGATTTTATTCAAAAGAAATAATTTTATTAAAATTGTGAGTATAATGAAAATCTATTATGTTATATTGACAAATAAGATTTTTTCAAAACTTTGTTATCCCGCAAAACACCAAGTATTGAAAAATATTTTAAACATTTTAAAATATTTTCAATCCAAATATTTTAAAACATTGGTATGGCTGAATTTTTTCTGGGTTCATATAATGTAATACCTATACACTAACATAGTAATATCCACCACCTGTCTGTCAGTTTGTCATCCTGTGGTGCCTTGCATGTTGTTGTGAAGCTAAAAGCTGTATCACTGCTATTTCAGATACCAGCAGGGTCACCCATGGTGGACAGGTTTCAGCAGGGCTTCCAGACTAAGAGAGACTAGAAAGAAGGGCCTGGTGATCAACTTCTGAAAATTAGCCAATGAAAATCTTATGGATCACAATAGAATATTGCTCATTATAGTGCTGAACGATGAACCCCAAAGGTTGGAAGGCATTGAGAATACTCACAGTAGCTGGAACAATAGACTCAAGCCAACCAAGGATCATGAAGAAGATAGCACAGGACTGGGCAATGTTCCTTCCGTTGTACCTGGGGTCGCCATGAGTCAGAGTTGATTCAAAGGCAATCAACTACAACATAATAATAATATAACATATAATATAACCCTTCGTGACCCAATTATTTTTTCCTTTTAATTTTTTGTTGATGTATGTGTTTTCAGTAATAGAGGACATGCTAAATCATTGAGTGTGTCTGAATTTCTTATAGGTAATATTGGTTTGGTTTTATGCCTCATTTCACAAATCGTACCCTCGGAGTCTACAGGTACATGTGTGTTGTATTCCTTGTGAACACAAATTCTAGCCCCAGGGTCCAGAGGTATGTACATGTATCAAATAAAAAATTTTCAAAATTCATGTTTTTCCCACCAAAAATTCAATGATTCAGCACACCTCATACAATATCCTATAAAAACAGGAATTTTCAGCACACAACTGTTTTCTGTTTCAAGCTTTTATATAGGGCCCTGCCCGCCAGCAATACATACTGTCAGTGGGACAGCAGTTTCCCAGTGAACCTCAGAGGTACAAAAAGTAAATGGTAGCTATGTATACTGCTGGTCCTGAAAGGGAAATATAATATCATGGTTTCATGTTTTATAAAATTAGAATTAGTCAATTTTGCCATAAATTTTCATCAAAATTGTTTATTCTTTCTAAATGAAAGAAAGGTGACGTGGCAGTTATTTCTATTAGCATTGTAGATCAGTGGTGGCAAAAATCCATTTTAAAGTTATAGTGCAGATAATATTTCTATTGTTTAAACCTGTCAAAAGAAAGTAATATGCTTTTTACTAAGTGTAATATGTCTAGTTACACTTCATCTTCTTTTCTTGGATCTATTCTCACATCTAAAGGGTTTGACCAAAGTCCTATCCTCTGATCTTTTCTATTTCCTCTCCCTGAAAATTAATTATTGCAATCAAAGTAATGCATACTTCATAAATAATCAAATAGTACAAAAAATAAACTTATGATGAAAAGCAGTCATATCCCTCTACACACTTCTATTCCCCAGAAACAATCTGTTAAAATCATTTGTTTTAATAACTGTAAATAATGTTTCTGCATATCTCACTTTCTTGATTTATCAACTGTTGACACAATCTATTGATTTAGCACTATGAATTTTAAGAATTAACATATTTAATACACTCTCTCTTTTTCCCACGTTTGCTTTCTTCCCCCAGTGTTTTTAGTTATATACCATCATCTTTAATTCTCCTATTGTTTACATTTGTAACTTTAATATTTTCAGAGCTCTGTTTCTTGTTCTATTAATTATAGGCAGGATCCCTTAACTCTCCACTTTGAAAAATGAAGACATTTGACTCCTACACTCTTCTTCCATCTCAATCTCCCTTCCACATCCCACCTTCTACTACCTACCTTGTACTTTTATATTTTCAAGGCTGTTAACATTTACCTTCTGTCCTGCAACTACAGCCAAACTTTCTGTGCTCTTCTACAGGTTGACTCTAAATGTAAAGACCAAGAAACAGTATCAACATTATAATTATTATATAAATATTGCTCAAAGTTGGGCCAAGTACCATGCTAAGAATGCATTACTCTTATCTGTGAATCTGAAGTATAACCCCAGGACCCCTCAAAGGAGATTGTGGTGGCTTTGTAAAGGTCAATGTGTGATGTGCTCAGCTAGGCTGAACTATGTTTCCCAGATTCCCTTCCTTGTATGTTTCTTGTTAGGGTGGGCCACAAGAGATATTTTGTGTGAGATTTCAAAGGCAGAAGCAAAGATCTAGTCATACTGTTTTTATGCTCAAAAGATTGAGGTGGCGTACCAGGCACCATCAGGGCTCTCGAAACTTTTACTTATTTACTGGCTCACCTTGTTGGCAAGGAGCAGAAGCTGATCCAGTAGCTACTCTGTCTTCCCTCAGAACTCTTCCAGCTTTTTTGATTCCTAGGCCAGGTGCATTTTTAGTTCCATGGCAAAGGGCACCAGTTAATCCTGCAGAACACCCACATCATCCAAGTTGGAGGTGGAGTTGACCCAGGTCCCAGTCTGTCCTAGATTCCAGCTCATGCTTGTGGGTTCCAGTTTATCCTCACTCTCCGCCACTTTATACATCTTCCCTTCCCCACTGTCTGTCCTACAGATTTCCTCAAGCTCTGGCATCAGACCCCAGATGCCTTAGAGCAACTAAACAGCTCCCATGCTTATGTGTATGCACTTGCGTGTTTGTGGGTGTACCATCCTAGTCGTTCTGCTTCTCTGATCTAACCCTGAATGATACAGAAGTTATTTCTAACATCAGTTTCAAATGGATTTCCCTTTATTTTTTAACACTATACAATTGCTTAAAATTATGTCACATCATAGTTTGCTTCATATCTTTTTCTAAGATTTCTAATTGCATTTCCTGATTCCTTGAATTAATGACTTCGTGATACTCACATTTTTCCATCTTCTCAGTCATATTGTTAGGATTCTTTCTCTCTCCCCACTTCCCTTAGAGATCTACTTCCCAGAGTCTACTCTCCTTCAGCTCCAATCCAGGACTGTGCATAGCTGTAATTCTGGGACTTTTTTTTTACTTCTTTACAAGTTAGATCTGCTTTAACTGGATCCCATATCTCCTTTCTTTCTTTTTTTTTTTCAGTTGTATTTTAGATGAAGGTTTACAGAGAAAATTAGTTTGTCATTAAAAATTAATACATATATAGTTTTGTGACATTGGTTCCAACTCTACAACATGTCAACATTCTCCCCTTCTTGACCTTGGCTTCCCGGTTACCACCTTTCCTATCCCCTCCTGTCTTCTCTATATCTCCTTTGTGTACTCTAGTATATATGCTTTTAACACATATATTTTAGGGTAATAGATAGTAGAACTATATTAAATTATAACATGTTCTTCTTAGAGCAAGGAACTAAATATACATACAAGTCACTTATACAGTCTTTATATTTTAAATGTTATCAAATTTAATTAACATATTTTAAGAACAAAAATAATGTACTGAGTTTTTCTCTTAAAATCAGGATAGTAATGCTAAAAATCCTTTTAACTCCCTTCTCCTTGTTATCACGCCTAGCATTTCTTGCAAATATTGACAGATCTATTGTGAACAAGGTGTTTTTTTCCATATGTTGAGACAAGCCAATTGATTTTTTTTAGCAACAATAGTCAGGTCGTGGGAGAAACAGGAAAGAGTCTGACGTATTAATCCTAAAATGGCAAGGATAGTGTAAGTGAGAAGTAAAAGGGTATGTAAATGAAGGAGGTTAAGACTTCAAAGGTTATGACACAGTTGGATCGTTCTCATTACAGAAACATTAACACAGATGAGTACAATCTGCAGATCAGCTAAATCTAAAATGCACAACTGTACCCAAGGGAACTTAAACGATTTCAATAGTTCCCTTAAATATAAAGCTAAACAATTTGAGTTTAAAAGGATTGCTAAGTTTTTTAGAACTGTTTAGTCTTTAACAGTAAAATATTCAAACTAAAGAGATTTTTTGATCTATTACTTATTTCTAGAGAGCAATAAATTTATTACTAACATGTTCTGAATGAGCTTGCATCTATCACTCTGAGACATTCAGTCAAATTCATCCTGAAAAATGAAATGGCAGATGCATTTAAACTCAGGAAAGCTAATTCGGGGCTATTGACTCCAATTAAGAATGTTCACTGGGATGAGGTCTAGTAGATTCGTGAATGTATAAAAAGAGCCTTGAAAACACTATAAGTTAAATATCTGAGTTAGGATGTTAACATCCAACTGAAAAGTTTTGTGTAAGTGAGCAAGTAAGTGACTGCATGTGAATGTGTGAGTGTGTTTAGGGGTATGTGTGAGTCTGTTTAGGGTGTGCGTGTGCATGCGTGTGTGTGTATATAGAACCATAGTAATAGTTAGCAAAAGAAGGAATTGTAATTCTTCCTCCTATTCCCAACCCTCACTGCCATCAGAGGGTACCTCACTCCTCCTATAAAATAAGAACTTGCAACCTTGTGAGTTTATACCTAAACAATGGAGAGAATTCCTGGAAATTTAAGAAGAGTATGCCCTGGAGATGTAGCATCAAGTAAACTCACTTTCTGAAACTAAGTTTTTAGAAGCAGAACTTTCTCTGCCAGTATCTCGAATAGATACTGTCTGAGCAAATTGCATCTGCAGTGATCATTCCTTAAAGCACAAGGCAGTCAATCCAGAGCAGACTGTGCCTGCTTAGGAAGCAAATCTTTTTCACCTTTGGTGCTTCCTTAAGTGCAGTTCAATTTGATGACATGATCTTGGTATTGTCCCAGTAACACCTTCAACTGGCTTCTCCCCAAGGAGCACCGTATTAATGTCGCTGGCAGGCGCTGTTGCCAAGTTAATTAATACTTTCGACTGCATAATCTTCAAAAGAGCATTTCTAAATTTAACCAAAGCACTTGCCATAATTCCCAAACTGAACGTGTTCAGTTGCCTTCAGTCTTCCAAGAACAGTAACTGAACAACTGCCAAGTACAGAGCCCTAGGGTAGAAGCCTCAGGAATGTACAGCCACATACAGATTGGAATGTGGTAAGAAACACACACACGCACAGTCAACTAAAACACAAGGCTGAGCATGGTAAATGCCGAAGCTACGTTCAAAGACTGTGAGTGTTCAGGGAAGTCAGAGAACATATCCCCACTTCTGTTTCACTCCACTGCTATCTTCTACCTACAGTGACCTGCTCTCCGTACCACCCCAGGTCCATATCTTTGAAGAAACTTCTTCCAGGTCCAGCCTGGATCCCATCACAGGCTTCAGTTTCTCCACACCTTCAACTTCCTAGCCTCTTTGTCTATCTCCACTCTGCAAATTCTGCACTAGAGACCACTCCAAACTTCCAATGCCTCCGTTCCTAAACATAGGTATCCTTGATGGAAAACCTCACACAATTACAGAGAATGTTGCTACCACAAATTTAAGATGTCTGACCTCAAGCAGGCCTCAGAACAACCTACTAATCCTTAGACTTGCCCTAGCAACTCCTTCTCTCACATTCTCTTCAGCAACAATCCAGAACTTTTCAATAGTCTTGGTAAATCCATTATTCAACCCC